GTGTATCTGTGAACCTGGGTAACCTGCAGCCTCTCTAAGTCTCAATTTCTTCCTCTATAAATGGGGGTAATAGCACTATGTAGCTAACTTGTCAGACTATTCCATTTAATGTAAGCTGTTTAACATGGTGCGCAGCATATAGTATATGTGTAATAAGTGTTAGCAATAAAGCAATAATAGTGATGAGTTTTTGTGTATCCTAATAATACTCTGACTTCCTTGGAGACTAGGTAATATTCAAGTAAAAGGACACACATTTAATTTTGACATTTTTTATTTATTAAATATAAATGTACATTCATTAATTGTTTCTATTTTATTTTAATTTTGAAACATTATTATTCATTTCTTTACCTTAACTTTTTTTAAAAATATATTTTCATGATTTCAAAGAGTAAGGGAGCGGAGAGATAGATACATAAACAATAAGAGAGAATCATTGATCAGTTAGCTCCTGCACACCCCCCATTGGGGATCAAGCCCGCAACCCGGGCATATGCCCGTGACCAGAATGGAACCCAGGACCCTTCATTCTGTAGGCCAGTGCCCTATCCACTGAGCTAAACTGGCTAGGGCTTTACCTTAACATTTTTATAATCAATGTGTATATATAATTTCTCTGTCTTATACATTGATCTCTGCTCTTAAAAAAAAAACACAAAACAATACTTAGAGATTTCCTGATCTCATATTGTAGACAATACCTTCTCCCCTGCCTGTTTGCTCCCCTTGCTTCCTCATGCCCTATTAACCTATCTTATAAGAAACCTCTGTGGAATAGTGATTTAGGGTGTATGAAAGCTAAGTAAGTTTGGAACTAGAGAGCTAAGTGAAATAAGACAGTCAGTGAAAGATAATGACCACATGATCTTATTTATGGAATATAAAGACCATTATAAACTGTCTGACAAAAATAGATAGAGGCAAAGAACCATTGAACAGACTGTCAAACTACAGGGGGAAGGTAGGGGAGGGTTAGGCGGGTAAGAGATCAATCGAAGGACTGTATGCATGCATACAAGCACAGCCAACAGATGCAAGACACGGGGAGGGTGGAGGGGAGGTTGGTGGGGGGAAAAAAATGTACAACTATTTGTAGTACCTTAGTAAATTAAAAAACAACAACTAAGTAAATAAAGACAGTGCATGTAATAAAGCAAAACACGTATGTCCAGTAGAGGGAGATATTGGCAAAATAATCAAGACACATAATAATGCAGATGCATTGGGCACCAAATTTAAAAACAAAGCTTTCCCTGTGTAAAAACATCTAATTAAGAATAATATAAATTCAGTAGCGCTGTGGATTTTGTTTTGCTAGCTGTCAAACCCAAACTCATAAATCACCTGAAGAAGCACTATGAGGAGTATGTACACTGTTACCATTCCATATATTAATAGTTTTGCTCACGTATTGTTTCAGAGATGGAAGTAATGACAAGAATATTGACACACATCTCTTTCTCTCTCTCAGTAGAAGTTATAGACTGATTACTTGAAAACAAAGAAAGTATAGAATCTATATATATTTTCCTAATTCAAAAAGATTTCTTTCTGCTAAAAATGAAAGACTTCTAGTTTTTGGCTCAAATTCGGTGAAGTGCTGTTTGTATACCAGGCTATGTGAGATGTAAATGTAATAGGTCACTTTCACCCTCGTAGCTATAAAATGAAAATTTTGTAAGACAGAAATAGCTTGTACTACTGGGTTAACAGAAGCTGTATTGAAGTATCATGTTTTTAAAACTATATCTATCTATATATACAGAGTAAAGTTTGTTGCTGTTACCCTGAAGAAAAAAAAAAAAGATATTTTCATTGAGTTCTATATTTATCTTAATAAACTGGTGTCATTCTTAGTGATCTAAACTGATGGACTGAATAAAAACACTATTCTTTTTATAAAAGTAAACATTATTGAAAAGATAATATCTTTGTAATTTAGATCTCCAAAATTCTGAAATTACTGGGAGGCCTATCATTAAAAGCAAATTAACAACATTTAATTAAGCTTGAATTGGAATGTTCGCAAGTATTTTGAATAGGACAGTTAAGTTGATTTGAACTTTTACTCTTCCAACAGAAACATCGCATTTCTTTCTGTTGGCAACATTGTCCAATAACTGACGACTATAATAGTCCCTCTGCACTTTGAGATTTAATACTCTTATTCTATCACACTCTAAGAAATTGCTGCCCTGGAACTTGGGGATGTTGAGACAGCCCTTAAACCTGAGAGTCTCACTTAATAGTTGACTGAGTTTTCCCCTCTGTATCACGCCTAAATATTTTGATGTGGATTTTATTACCTTTGGCTGCATTAGTAAATTCAGTTTGTAAAATGTCCAAAAAACTTTATATCGTATACAAAATATATGTTACATAAATCACTATAGTAATTAATCATTTTTTTCTTTATTGATTAAGGTATTCACATGTGTCCTTATCACTCCATACCCTCCCCCCTACCCCACCCAACTCATGCCCTCACCCTCCTCTTGTCTGTAGCCATTGATTAGGCTTATATGCATGCATACAAGTCCTTGGGTTGATCTCTCCCCCTTACCTCCACCCTCCCCTACCTTCCCTCTCAGAGTTGATGGTCTTATTGATGCTTCTTTGTCTCTGGATCTGTTTTTGTTCATTATATTCCATAAACGAGTGAGATCATGTGATATAGATCTTTCTCTGACTGGCTTATTTCACTTAGCATAATGCTCTCCAATTCCATCCAGGTGGTTGCAAATGATAAGAATTCCTTCTTTTTTACTACAACATAGTATTCCATCGTGTAGATGTACCACAGTTTTTTAATCCACTCATCTGCGGATGGGCAATTAGGCTATTTCCAAATCTTAGCTATAGTAAACTGTGCCACTATGAACATAGGAGTGCATATATCTTTTCTGATTGGTATTTCTAGTTTCTTAGGATATATTCCTAGAAGTGGGATAACTGGGTCAAATGGGAGTTCCATTTTTAGTTTTTTGAGGAAACGCCATACTGTTCTCCACAGTGGCTGCACCAGTCTGCATGCACTATAGTAATTTTACAGTTTAAATTTCCACTTAGTTGATTCAGAAATGTAAGTTATATACTTCTGCCAATTTTATTCTTATAAATTAAATTGGTAAATGTTACCACCAACAACTTAATAGATAATAGCTTTAAAAAAAGATACTATCTTACCCTGTTTGGCATGGCTCAGTGCTTGAGCATTGACCTATGAACCAGGAGGTCACAGTTTGATTCCAGGTTAGGGCACAAGCCTGGGTTGTGGGCTTGATCCCAATTGGGGGTGTGCAGGAGGAAGCTGATCAATGATTCTCTTTCATCATTGATGTTTATATCTCTCTTTCCCCCTCCCTTCCTCTCTGAAATCAATCAAAATATATTTTTAAAAACTTTAAAAATACAAGTAACAAAAAAATAAAGAAACTATCTTAAGCATACAGTTTTTGTTTATCTGTAAACTTTCATCGATTTTCTTGCTCTTAATTTGTGCTAAGGAGCATCATTCTTTGTGTGTAAGTGGATTTGTATAATTTTATAAGGAACTATGAAGGATGAGCTATCATAAAATAGACTTCATAGTATGTAATATGGTTTTCAGGTAGGACCAAAGTTATTCCCTGAATTGCACGTGCTTTTATAACCAGAAGTTTTTACAAACTTCATTTAACCACTGAATGTGTGTTTTTTTTTGAGTTATTAAAAATAATTTTCAGTAAATGGACTTCATTGAACTTCTTCATTCAAAGAGTTTCTTTGAACCCCTATAGACACATTTGAATGCCTTTTTTAACCATTTGTTAACAAATTAACATGTATTAAAAATGACCATGGGAAAGTGGAATTGAGTAAATACAAAGTAAATCAATCAGTGTTTATGTATATTCATCAGAATTGTTAATATTATGCTGCAGTAATAAGTCTAGAATCTCAGTGGCTAAAATCAACCAAATTTACTTTTCTCATTCTGCATGTCCATTGTGGTTTGACAGCATTGAATGTCTTTGTTGTAGTTACTTGGGAACTCAGGCCGAAGCAGGTTCCACCTTGACACATCCTGCAGCTATTACAGTTCTGGGGAAAGGATGTGCAGTGAATCTTCTAATACTCTTAAAACTTCTGTCTATAAATGACAAAGTTCCGCTGGGCAAGGTGTGGCCACACCTGAGTTCTACAAGCTGCCTGATCCTCCCACAGAACGGGCCACTGGATGTTCACCAGACTCTTCTGAATGAGTGAGCATTTGGAAACTGTCGATAGCCTCAGACTGTCTGGTTTCAACTGAGCATGGAAAGAAAACGAAATGTTTTCACCTGATCATCATCTCATTAGTTTTAGAACTCATATTGGGTTCACTGCACTGACCACATACCCCCACCACACACACACACACACACACACACAATTCTACATGATTTAAATTATGTAAGAACTGTTTTACAGAAATATTTGTACCACAGGGGATATTGGCATTGTTCCACATGCAGTGTGGACAGGGAATGACAGTGTTGTGGGGACTAACCTGCTTTAAATTCACATTTGTAGGTCAGCCGGGGCCATTCATAAATTTCATGACTACATTATAGTTGAGCAGGATTTAAACTTCTTTTTCTTTCTCTCTCTCTTTCTCTCTTTCTTTCTTTCTTTCTTTCTTTCTTTCTTTCTTTCTTTCTTTCTTTCTTTCTTTCTTTCTTCCTCTTTTCTTTTTTGTCTCATGGAATATAAACAAGGCCAAATTTTAATTTGGAGTTTAAATATTATATATTAATTGTACTGTGTTAGGAGGAAACTGAGTGTTACAGTAGCTTAACAGTGTAAATAACAAATATAATTGAACCATTAAAATTATCGCAAAATTCACACTAAAATGAAAGTATTGTAATTTGTTATAAAGATCCACTGTTTTTTTTTTTCATTTATTTTTTTAATCTCACACAATTAGCTTTTATTTAATTACTGCTAACATTTTCTGGCTTTTTTTTTTTCAGGTATTTCTGGTTTTTCTAAAATATTTTGTGAAACTTCCCAGAAGCTAGTTAGTGTGGAAGCCTTTGCTCTGGCTGCTAAACATTATTCTATACAAAACTTGGGAATGTGTACTCCTTTTGAGCAATTGCTTGTAGCCCTTCGAGGAATTAAAGAAGAGAAAACTGGTAGGTGTGTTTTGTGTGTGTGTGTGTGTATACATGTGAGTATGTTTGGTTTTAGGCACTTAGAAGCAGTATATTGTTCATATATGTATGTCTTTCCAATATGGTCTTAATTTAGTGTTCAACCTTACTAGTATATCATGAACCCAACTAGACTTATGCAAGTGGGTCTTCTCATGCAACATTTTAAACAGAACTTCATTCTGGTTCTCCACATTTTTTTCTATATGGTAGTTCAATTACCAGTCTTTTTCTTTATAGTTAATCCTTTTATGTGTCAGGGAACATTTTAATAATGTTCTGTGGGTCTTATTGATTTTTTTAATTCAAATTTGAATCATAGGAGCTAAACCTATAGAGATGTATTATATACTAATAGACATCACAATAGAATCTATATTATTTTCATAGTTACTTACAGAACACATGAATGTCAAGTGATGGTCCTTATTAACTTTTGTTTCTTTAGTGTTTTAATTTTGTTGTATTTCTACTCAGGTGACAGTGTGAAGACAGATGAGTTTATGAATTTGAAAAAATCTCACGAAGTTCAGGCAATGTCAGAGCTGATCAGCAGTATTGCTGATTACTGTGGTATAAAGCAGGTAAGGGTATTTCCCTATATTTTCAGGTGTTAAGATGATTGCCTCTTTTTTTTGTTGTTGTATCATTCAAATTCTTTTTTCTACTATTATTATCTAGCCTTTAAAATGCCATTAAATGATAGCTGACATGAGATATGTCAGAGCCTTTAAAAATGTGCTCTCAAATACTCCAATTATAACAAATGTATACCAAAAATAAGATATCACCATGCATGTTTTGCCACAAATTTCACTCTTTTCGGAGTGGATAGAAGTTAAAAATGATTCCCTTTGACATGTCATAATTCCAGCTTGAGGCAGCATTATGATGACGACATTTTGCAGAACTGTCCTCAGGACCTGGCCAAGCTGTGATATGGGGAACCTACCTCATTATATAACACAAAGAAACTATATTTTAGGACTTGGATTCTTTTACACTGTCAAAATTACAGTGCATTCCTGTTGTGAAAAATCGCTTTTGTGTAACAGATCTTTGCAAACAGATGTTAAAATAAAATCAAAGATTGCCTGGACCTATAAAAATAGTAAGTTATTTTTTCCCCGTGGCTTATAAAAATAGTAAGTTATTTTTCTTATCCCTATGAGAAATCTATGGGGGTAATGGACGATTTTCCCTCCTTCAGTTTTTATTAGGTGTTACAATCTTTTCCATGGATTCTTCCAGACTTGTGGAGAGTCTGAGGATGATTAGAAAATTATCACGGTGTGGGCACAACCACATGTGACAATGTAACTCTGTAGGGTAGAGGCAAGAGCTAAGCAATAGTTTTTAATCTTTCTCAAGTGTATCATATCTAAGCAATACCTTTCAGGATTAGTAACAGGCTCACCAAGGCAGTGATGCTTATCTAGACCACAAGATGCAAGTACGCAGTAACGCTTAACAAACAGTTGCCATACAAATCACATGGATGAATATTAGAAACATAAAATTGAATGGGGGAAAATAAGCAATTTACAGAAGACCACCACATTTAAAAGCTCTAAAGAAAAACAATGGTATATTCCTGAGGTAAAAAATTATAAGAAAAAAACCAATGGAATCATAATAATTTGAGAATCGTTAATTACCTCTGGTAGGGGAGGTAGGGAAATGGGTTATGGATGGAAAATTAATTAATGCAGTAGAAATATTATTGTTCTAGTTTTTAGGATGGCTGATAGGTTTGTGGGTAGAGCCAGTGCTGTTGGACACCTAACCCAAATACTCTTGGGCCTTACCAGTTCATGGTGTGCCAGCCTACTTTCTACCTAGCAATATCTGCATTTCTTTCCCTGTGGGTTTTCTCTGGCTGCTGAAACAAGGCGCTGCTTGCATACACGTTCTGGGAATTAATCCCTCTCTGTGGCAAGCCTTGAACCACTGACTGGTACAAATTAATATGCAAATACATCAGCTCCCTGACATTTCCAGTGAATGCTTCTGAGGTATGCCTTCTCCACTAGCTCTCAGAATTTCCAGTGCAATTAAACCCAATTTGCCCTAAAAGTAACTTGATTAATAATGCACCTTTTATTGGGCTGCCTTCCTTTCTCTTTTTCTCTTCTCTACGTCTCTACCCAAATATAAATCACTTATACTTAAAAATCTCTGGTATAGAATCTGCTCTGTTGTAACACAAAAACTAAGATAAAGGGTATTTATTGTGCCTCATTACTTTACATTTGGACAGTATTTATTCTTTTACTTATGTAAAATATTGCATAATAATAAATAAATTTAATAAAACAGATTTATTTTATTTCTAAATAGCAGAGAAAATTTTTGAAATACCTTAAAATATCATGTTAGACCTGCTTTAAGGGATTTTTTTCAAAACAAAGGAAATTGCTTTTTAGTCAATGAAAGCTCCTAAAGACTTTTACAAGGTCTGTATCTTAAATCATTTAATAGCAATATTTGATTCTCACAGTAGTTTATTTTAAAATGTTTTACATATGTACTACTTTACTTTTAAAATGCAGATTTCATGATGGTCAATGGAAATCCAGGATCAGAAACACTTGCCTTTACTAGTGACCCCAGAGAGCTCTCATTAATTGTGATGGAGATTTGGGGAGAGGCAGGTTTTACAGAAAATATCAAGCACTTAGTTTGGAACACGTTAAGTTTGAAAAGCTTATTAGACACTCAAGTAGAAATGTTAGGCAAACCGATGGATATATGATTATGAAGTTCACCAGAGAATTCCATATTGGTGTAATAAATTAGGAGACTAGGAAGGTCAGTCACACCAGACATTGGACTAGAGACTCCTCTGTCTTCTAACCTATGAGATGATCCAGGATGGAAAATACTATTGTGAGTAAAGAGTAGGAAATCAGGTTGGTGGAAAATTTGCAATTGAGACCAGATAGTTTGAAGGCAAAACGTTTTATGGCTTATACAACTTTTAACTGCACAGAGTTTTCCATTCTATGGCTAACACAGCATATGTTACCAAAAGTCAGTTTGGACAGGGATAGAAGTCTGCTTGGGTCAATAAGATGTAAATGTAGGCTGGCAAATTTTATACTAGCATTATACTATTTTGATTATGCTAGTTTTATATTGATTCCAAAAGTGTGTAAATCCTCCAATCTTTTTCCTTTTCAAAAGTGTTGTGGTTATTCTAGGAACTGTGCCTTGTCATATAAATTGTAATATCTGTTTGTCAATTTCTTTTTAAAAAATCTGCTGGAATTTTATTAGGATTGCATTGAATCTGTATGTCAATTTGGGAGAATTGCCATCTAAAAATTGAATCTCATGTTTTGTCAATATGGTATTTCATTATTTAATCTATTAAATTTTTTCCTATGCAATGTTTTGTAGTTTTCAGTGTATAGGGATCTTACACAACCTTTGTTACATTTATTACTAGATATTCTAGTAATATGCTAATTATTTTATAATTTGCTACTGTATTGTATATATTCTAATGGTTCATTATTAATTTCTAATGATCCTGTATTCTGACACATTGCTAAATTCACTTACTTGTTATGCTAGCTTTTTTTGGTATATTAATCAGGATTTTCTGAGACACAGTCATATTATCTATGAAGAAAGAGAGTTTTATTTCCAGTATTTATAACTTTTGCATATTTTTCTTTACATTACACTGTCTAGATCTTCTTTTAAAAAGTTAAATCAAAATGATGAGTGTGATTGGTTTTTAATAAGAATCAAAATTAAAATAAAAAACAAGAGATTGTATAAAGTATACAACCATTTGTTTACTTTAATTCATTCTGTTTTTCTTTAGGTAATTGACCTGGGTTCTGGAAAAGGCTACCTAAGTTCCTATTTGTCCATGAAGTATGGCTTAAAAGTTTATGGAATTGATTCCTCAAATACCAATACTCATGGAGCTCAGGAGAGAAACAGGAAGTTGAAGAAACATTGGAAAGTCTATCATACCCAGTCAGACTTAGATGTCAGTGAACTGCCATTCAAAATGGCAAAAGAAAAGAAAACAAAAGATCAAGTAAAAAATAAAACAGATATTCAGGGAGTATGTAACAACAGTCCTGCAAATCAAGGAATGATGTCTACATCAGATTTTTTGCCAGACTTTTCGAGTTCTGTTATTTCTAACATAAGAAAACAAATGGAAAACCTACATGTTCATTCACATCGAGAAGAAAATTTGTGTCTTGAAAATGCCTTTTCTCTTATAGACCGTTTGCCTATTAATGCCATTGAACTTACTTCTTCCTCCAAAATACCCAAGAGAAAAATGTCAGAAGCAAATAAAGAGAGAAGAAAAACAACATCCAAGTCAAATGAATCCAATATATACTCACCTTTAACATCTTTTATTACTGCTGATTCAGAACTACATGATATTATTAAAGATCTGGAGGTAATTTCACATTTGAATTTCTTAATTTGATTTATAAAACTGCTCTAGGACATACAATTAAATTTTAATAGTAGCTTACTTAACCTACATATCTTATTTGGTTACATTAATCTAAAGAGCTAAAATTATGTACAGACTTTTATGATTCTCACAGCTATCAAAATCTGATAGGAGTAGAAAATATGACAATTACAGTTTTCCAAAATAGAGTATCTTCCACTCATTTCAAGCCTCCTAAATTAAACAGAAGTAATAGCACAAAAGTTAATAAGCTAAGTTCTCATTAAATAATATAGGGATTATTAAAAATTCCAATTCAAGAAAACCTGTGCATTTTAATTTATATTTGAAGAGATATCTACAGCAGTATTAGCTATAAACTAGAAGCCCAGTGCCTGAAATTGTGTGGCCCCACCACACACACATGCCTCACTGCACTCACAGACCTGCCGTGCTTGCAGCCCTGCCCACTTGCATGCACCTCGCTGTGTACACAGCCTCCTGATGACTCGTCTTTGGTCATTACAATGTTACAACCACTGGGTTTTTATTCTGTAGATATAAAACCCTAATATACAAATAGACCAAACAGCGGTACCACTGAACAACCAGTTGCTATGACATGCCCTGACCACCAGGGGTCACGTGTGGAACATGGCAGGTGTTGGCAGCAGGCGGCAGAGCATGGAACATGGCGGGCACTGGCCGCAGCAGGATGGTGGAGCAGGTGCGTGAGGGCCCCAGATCAGATCGGCCTCTGTCATCGGTGCGAGCCACTGTGATTACCAAAATTCTTTGCTCCCTCCCGCATGCTGTGGTCCTGCTGGGTGCTTGCCGCACCAGCCATGCTGGCATCTGCTGCCGCACTGGAGCTGCTGCTCGTACCCGCTGCTGGTGCCCAGCACCGGCCCTGATTGCTCAGCACTGTCAGTGGGTGCAAGATGCAGCTTCCAACCCTGATTGCCCCTCAGGGCTTCTCCACCTCCCCTTGCTCCTGCGGGGTAATTGGGGCCGGCAGCCACTGCTCACATCCACTGCTGGTGCCAGCCCCACTTGCACCCATAGCTGGTGCTGGCATCAATTTGCTCTGCGCCATCAGCCAGTGTGAGTGGGGCCAGCGCCATCAGCGTGTGGGAGCAGCAGCAGTGGCGGGAGCCGGGCTGCCAGCAGAGAGGTGACTAGGAGCTGCAGCGGGAGGGACCAGGCAGAGGCGGGGAGGATGGGCTGACCCACTTCCAGGCCCACTGCAGCCTTGTGGCCCACAGTTCCTTTCAAGATGCATAAATTCGTGCATAGGGCCCCCAGTATTTAATGTTAGCTTTCGTAACCAAATATGCAAATTTTTGAGCAAATGTTAGCTTCTGAGTATTCTTAAAGAATTTCAACTTTTTTCTAAACTATAAGTTTATCAAATGCAATTTAAAGAGAATATTTCTTAAACAAAGGCATCATTGCATGTTAAGACAATATTGTAGAGAATCTTCTAGAAATCATTTAGCCTAATTCATTGTTTTTTAAAATAAATAAATAAATAAATAAACACAAACAATGTGGCCTTTGAAGTTGTAATCTACTTACTAAATTTTTCAATTTTTTTAAAGATTAATTTCATTGGTGTGACATTGGTTAATAAGATTATGTAGGTTTCCAGTGTGCAATTCTATGACACATTATCTGTATATTGTGTTATATGTCCACCACCCTAGTCAAATCTTCTTTTGTCGTCATATATTTGACATCCTTATACTTTACTAACCTCCCACCTCCCTTCCCTCTGGTAACTACCGTACTGTTTTCTATGTCTGTGAGTTTTTGTTTGTTTTCTCTGTTTATTCATTTGTTGCTTTCAGTTTTACATCCCACATATGAGTAAAATCATGAGTGACTTTTTCTGACTTATTTTGCTTAAGATCCACCCATGTCACAAATGGCAGCATTTCATCTAAGTAGAATTCCATTGTTTATATGTACCACATCTTTATTCAATCATCTATCAAAGGACACTTCAGTTGTTTTCCATGTCTTGGGCACTGTGAATAATACTGCAGTTAACATATATCTTATGCATATATCTTTATGAATAAATGTTTTCAAGTTTTTTGGGTAGATAGATACCCAAAAGAGGGGTCACTCGATCATATTTTTTTTTATTTTATTTTTTAATTTTTAAGGGACCCTCTGTGCTGTTTTTCATAGTGGCTGTATCAGTATGCCTTTCCACCAGCAGTGAATGAAGGCTCCTTTTTCTCCACAACTTCTCTGACACTTGTTACTTGTTTTATTGATAATAACAATTCTAAGAGGTGTCCGTGGTATCTCATTGTAGTTTTGATTTGCATTTGTATGCCTGCTTAGGAGATGTGTTTGTTCAAGTCCCCTGCCCATTTTTAACTGTATGGACATGTTTTCATTTCTCTTGGATAATTAGCCCAGAGTGGGATTTGTGGGTCATATTGTTAGCAAGTGTATGTTTTAACTTTATGGTAAGCTGCGAGTGTTTTCCAATGTGCTTGTACCATTATTATCCTCATTTTACAGATGAGGAAATTAAGGCACTGAAGAATTAAAAGAAAATTGGTATATTGATCAAGATTACGTGAGTACATGCAGTTGTACCGATTCAGTATGTGCATACATTAAAATTTGGCTTTGAAACAGTTCATAGGAGAATATTTACATAAAACTGATGTTATAAAATTTAGAACAAAAATTGTTACATTGAATTTTAAATTGTTATATTTGAAGCAAGGAATGAGCTAAGTATACTTTTTTGTTAATTTGGCACCTTTTGTTTGTTTTTTATAAGTTTTAATGGGCAATTTGTGAAGAAGTGAATTTATAAAAAATATTAGTAAGGTATAAATGTGTCTCAAATCACAAGTTTTTCATAGTCATGTATGCTACATTTGATTAATCCAATCTTTAGTTTGGTAGTTGTGAAACAGAAAAGAGAAAATTCAAATGGGTAAGTAACTTAAAACAGGAGGAAAATCAACTCAAAAGTATTTAGTTGGGAGAAATGATCACAGTCATTTTGTCCATAAAGGGAATGATTATCTCTCTCTATATAAAGAGGTAATATGCAAATTATGGGACACTGTAAGAGTAACTACCAGCTCAGGAAGAGGTTGCCTGTGCAGATGGGTGGGGGAGGGCTGCATGCCACCCCAGGCCCCAGCAGCCTTGGCACAGCTGGGGGTGCGGCTGGGCCCCAGAGCGGAGACACAGCACACAGGGGTCCCGCCCCCACTGGGAGACGGTGCACCAACAGTCCTGCCTCTGCGGGTGAGCTGCAGAGGAAACACCCTTTCTTACAGCTCATTGGCTAAGCTCCCTGGGCGCCACTGGCAGTATTCTTGGTAACTTGGGTGATAAGAATCCAAGAAGGTGAGCTAGGGTTTTCCACCTCACTCCTGGAGGAAAAAATGAAGGTCCACTGCTGGAGGGACTAAGAAATGTCATATCCTGCCCTAATCAGTTTGGCTCAGTGGATAGATACTTGGCCTGTGGACTGCAGGGTCCAGGTTCGATTCTGATCAAGGGCATGTACCTAGGTTGTAGGCTTCTCCTTGGCCAGGGCCCAGGTCAGGGCTCATACAGGAGGCAACCAATCAAAGTGTGTCTCTCACACTGATGTTTCTCTCTGTCTCTCCCTCTCTCATCCACACTCTCTAAAAATCAATAGAAAAATATCCTCAGGTGAGGATAAAAAAAAAGAAAGAAATGTCATATCCTATGAAAGAGACATTTTGAAAATGCTTAAAGAAAGCTGTCATTTTTTCGTGGTGAAGGAACTGGAGTCCATGTTGATGAAAACACTTTGGTGGCTGCAGTGGCCGGCAGTGATAGCAGCAGCGGGGTGATGGGGGTGGCGCCTTCCCCTGATCCATCGATCACCTTCCGCAGAGAGAGGCCAGACTGCAGCTTAAGCCCCGAGGGGAGCAGACAAGCCGTCAGTAGGACATCCCCTGAAGACTCCCAGATTGTGAGAGGGGGAAGGCGGGGCTGACGGAACCCCTCTCCAGTGCACGAATTTCATGCACCAGGCCTCTAGTTTGTTATAAAAATAAATTAAAAACACAGTATTTTCTAGTTAGAATTTGGTCATTTTTAAAAGCTCCATATATTCTAATGAACATTTAAAATCTTCACCTGAAATGTATTTTTAGCCCTCCTTTTAATTGCCAAAATTTGTTTTTCTTCTCATTTTTAAAGGATTGCTTGATGGTAGGTCTACATACTTGTGGTGATCTTGCTTCAAATACTCTACGAATATTTACATCCAATTCTAAAATCAAGGGAGTTTGCAGTGTGGGTTGTTGCTACCACCTCTTATCTGAAGAATTTGAAGACCCAGATAAAGGTAAAATATTTTCCATATCTCATAGTTTCATTTATTTCAGCATAATTGGTGCTTTCTAGCGCTCCATCATTTTTTAACATTGTTGTCATTTTGAATTAACATTTAAAATAATATCTGATATTTTTGCAATTTTAATATATCAATTGAAATTTGATGTACTATCACCTTATGCATTTTGTTATACTTTATTTGTTCATTAAATGGTTTTAGTGCATACTGAAAACTGCAAATATTTGAAAATTTTATGTGGTAAAATAATAAAGCCAAGTTCTGCCAAAACCGGTTTGGCTCAATGGATAGAGCGTCGGCCTGCGAACTGAAAGGTCCCAGGTTCGATTCCGATCAAGGGCACGTGCCTTGGTTGCGGGCACATCCCCAGTGGGAGGTGTGCAAGAGGCAGCTGGTCAATGTATCTCTCTCATCGACGTTTCTAACTCTCTATCCGTCTCAATTCCTCTCTGTAAAAATCAATAAAGTATATAAAAAAAAATTTGATAAAAAAAATAAATAAAGCTAAGTTCTTTTGTCATGAATACAGAGTTGCAAGGTTTGCTTTTATTTTCAAAACCTTTTCAGTTTTGTGAGAAATATTGGTATTTCTCAAAAATCTTTCATTACTGTATTTTTAAGAGTTAACATTTTATTATTTTAAAAGCTGCAAAACTGTGCAATGACATTAAAATAATGGTATTCAAACTGTGCTCCCTGGACTGAGATGCTGCTTGAAGAGCAAAGAACCTCAGGATTTAAAGCACCACATATGCCTTCATCCAGAGCAGCTCTTTTTATATGTTGCTAGAGGAGCGGTACACGGAATTTGTGCACGGGTTCGGGGGTCCCTCAGCTCAGCCTGTACCTCTCCAATCTGGGACCCCTTGAGGGATGTCTGACCGCCTGTTGTGGGATCGGGCCTAAGCGGGCTGCTGCACATCCTTCTTACAATCCAGGATAGCTGGCTCCCAATCATTCGCCTGCCTTTCCTGATTGTCCCTAACTGCTTTTGTCTGCCAGCCTGATCACCCCCTAACAACTCCCCTGCCAGCCTGATCAACACCTAACTGCTCCCCAGCTGGCCCAATTGCCTCTAACTGTCCTTCCCTGCTAGCCTAGTCACCCCTAACTGCCCTCCTTTGCCAGTCTGGTCAGCCCTGACTGTCCTCCTCTGCAGGCCTGGTCTCCCCCAGCTGCCCTCCTTTGCTTGCCCGGTCACCCCTAACTGCCTTTCCCTGTTAGCCTGGTCCCCCCACAACTGTCCTCCCCTGATGGCCAGGTCTCTCCCAACTGCCCTTCTCTGCTGGCCTGGTGACCCCCAACTGCCCTACCTGCTGGCCTGATCACCCCCCACTGCCCTCCCTGTAGGCCTGGTCCCTCCTAACTGCCCTCCCCTGGAGTCCTGGGTCCCCCCCAGCAACCCTCCTCAACTGACCTGGTCACCCACAATTGCCCACAACTGCCCTCCCCTGCCAGCTATCTTGTGGTGGCCATCTTGTTTCCACATGGGAACAACCATATTTAACCACATGGGGGTGGCCATCTTGTGTGTTTGTAGTGATGGTCAATTTGCATATTATTTTATTACATAGGATATCTCTTAATAAGATATGGTTTCAAAACTGCTGGTTCAGGTCACTTTATTAATATTAATATAGCAGTTTTCTTTCCTATTAGTTGAATGAAATCTTTATCAACATCCAGTGTCCCTTGCTAAGATTTCTTAAGCCAGGAAGCTGTGTGCATATGGATGGTATTGTTTGTTCTTTTCTCAGTTTTAAAATCCAAATGAATAGGAAATTTTTACTTTTTATTTAGTTGTGTATAAGAGGCAAAAATTATCATTATATAATTATACTGAAATTTGACTGGGTGAGACAGAGGTCATCCATAGACCTGGCAGAGGTTTTTATAAAAAAACATTTAATTGAATTTGATTTTTTTATGTCAGAGATTTTTAAAGTATCTTTTATGAAGATGCGTAGAAGAAAATTTTTTAACATATACAGATATATTGATTGAGAAAAAAAATGGCAAAAAGTTAACAATACTTTAATTTAGATGGAGAATATATGTTTTTCTTGCCATTTTTCTAATTTTATTCAGAGTACAAAAATCTTCAAGATAAAAATTTGGAGAAAATTGTGAACCAAAAAAAAAGAAAAAAATATAGTTATAATAAAACACTCACATATCTATACTATATTACAATATTTTTGTGCATCTTTTCTAAATGAAAGAAAAAAACTCTTTAATACAGAATTTTATAGCTTTTAAAACATTAAGTGTATAGTGTTTTCCTGGACCAACAATAGCATAAGATTCTATGTAAGGGAGGTATGATTTTTAGTCCACAAATTTCCTCTTCTGTAGGTGCAATGAAATCGGTTTTTAAAATTTTTATTTTGTTTTTGAAAGTATTACAGATTTATCGTTTTCCCCCCATTGACCCTCTCCACTTCCCCACTCCCTCCCTAGGTCTTCATTGCACCATTGTCTGTGTTATGCATATATGCATATGAATTCTCTGGTTAATCTCTTCATGCTCCTGCTTTCTCTCTGAAATACATCAGTCTGTTCCATGCTTCAATGTTTCTGATTCTATTTTTTCATCAATTTATTTTGTTCATTAATTTCCACATATAAGTGGGATCATGTGTTATTTGTTTTTGTCTGTCCGGCTTATTTCACTTAGCATAATCTCCAGGTCACATCATGCTGTCTCAAAGGGTAAGAGATCCTTCTTTTTTATAGCTGCATAGTATTCCGTTGTGTGTATGTACCACAGTTGTTGTTTTTATCCATTCATCTACCATTGGGCATATGGCCTGTTTCTAAATCTTAGCTATGGTCAATAACTTTGCTAGGAGTTTCTTTAATCATAGGCTCTACTGGGGGTGGGTATAGACAGTTGGTGTGTCTTTCAGTTCAGAGGTATTGTCCTTCAGTATATTAACTTCAGCTGCCTGCTTCCTTCTTTCCTCTGTATCCCAAAATGCCTTCACCTTCCAAAGGACTCCTATCTTCTTAAGTCTGTCATCCCTGATCATCAGGTCACAGACCTACTTTCAGTATTTCCCACCATGGGGCAATACTCCCTTTTGAACAAGTGATTAGGAATAGGGAAGAAAATCAATGTTGCTACACTGACCACCAGGGGCAGACACTCTGACTGGTAGGTTGCCTTGTTGCTGGGTTCCGGCCAATCAGGATTGGGCAAGATGAGCCAGACACACCCTGGAGCCTCCTGCAGTCCCTCCCCTGCTGGCCAGCCCTGATCAAGCCCCCATTGGGACTGGGCTAGACACTCCAGACATGCCCTTAAGCCCTCCTGCAGTCCCTCTTGAACCCCAATCATGTACCAGTGGGGTCCCTCGGCTTGGCCTGTGCCCTCTCGCAATCTGGGGATGTCAGAGAGCCGCATGCCAGGCCGAGGGACCCTACTGATACACAAATCCATGCACCAAGCCTCTAGTGTTAAAACAAATAATAATACAAGAATATACTTGAGTTTTATTTACTCACAACTGTAAACCTATTTTTACCCACCCCTCTATACTATATAGTACTAGTATTCCTTAATAAAATAGAAATTTACCACTATACAGTTTGATCATTATATTTTAACTAACTTACAAGGCCAGATGTTTGCATGCATATTTCCTGTCATATATCCAGCACTAGGTGCCATGGAGTTATATCTCTGAGTGATCAAGTATGTCATGTGTCTCTCCCTTCACATCTTGCACACCTACCCCTCACCCTCACTTTGTTTGCACAGCTGTTTTTGAGTTTGACTTGGGGCAGTGTTGCCCTTTGGGATGTAAATTTGAGTTATTAATAGTCCAACATAGTATACTAGAAAAGTCTGGTATGTATACTACAACTTTTTATGATGATATGTACTATGTAAACATTATGCGTTTAACATGAATATGTTTACCCAGTACACTGTGGTAGACCAAAGAGGCAGTCTTTCATGAATGTCAATTTTCAAAAGTACCTCAAAGCTCTCTGAGCCCACTATGAATACCAAAGTTAGACCATATGTTTTAAAAACTGCCTTTAAATATTTATATATTATGGGCCAGTAGTTCCTAGGAGAACAAGAAATACCAGAAACAGTTTTATTGCAGTGCTTTATAGAATATATATATATATATATATATATATATATATATATTTGTCTAAGCTTGACATGTTTCATTGTTTTGTCTTAATATTGATTATTATCATAATTAATTCTTCAATACTTACATTATTTCTTCCCCTAGAAGTTGGAGAGAGAATTTCTTTCCCAGAAAGGTAGAAACACGCTGTAGCAAACACTACTGGTTACCTGATCCACGTATCTCTTCCTCCTCACTGACTGACTGCTCAGCCGTAGGGTATTGGGAAGATTGGGGCCTTCCGTAGCCTCACAAGCAGGTGAATGTGAATCTAGATTATTACTGTAATTCCATGTGTGTAGTAATGGGTAAGAGACAGAGTTCTCAACAGTGAGGCGTGAAGAGCATGTCTTCTAGGAGGTTTCCTGGAAATTTTGTCTTGTCGTTAAAATTGAACAGAAGGCAAGAACATCATCACTTTCCTTCTCTGCCTCTGGACTTGGTCATCCGTATGTTCAGCCTACTGTGTATTCTGTCAGAAATTGGTATTAGTGGTCTGAGTCCTGCAGGCCCAGTCTGAGGGATGAAAGATAATTTTACTTTTCCTGGCAGTTTACCTGATCATTTCAGAGGCTTAGGAGAGCAGGAGAGTAAAGAAAGAGCTCAGACCCCAAATAGTCACACCAGCTGGTATCCCTGAGCTTCTTCCTTGGCCTTAATAGGAGTCTCTTCTACCGTGTTTCCCCGAAAATAAGACCTAGCGCATGGAAAGATAAGACATCCCCTGAAAATAAGACCTAGCGCAACTTTGGGAGAAAAAATTAATATAAGACACTGTCTTATTTTCGGGGAAACCGGGTAGGAGCAAACGTTATCATTAAATAGATTTGTGCTTTGTCT